GCCCAACCTTCCTTCCGAGGAGTGGCTGGTGGGTTTGAACCGCCAGCCGTCTGGTTAGCAGGCAAGTGTCTTAGCCACTATGCTACCAGAGCTATAGTAGACCATATAATTGTCTGATTCAAATGGCTAATACCAGTTCATTTCAGCTCACTGATGCCTAGGATATTGATCTTGGTGCATTCCATTTCATTTTTGACAGCTTCTTGTTTTCATAGATTCATACTTTGTACATTCTGCATTCTGATTATTTATGGATGTTTGCAGCTGTTTCTTACCATTTTGAGTCATGCCCCAGCAGCAAATGGAGGTCCCCAAAGCTTTACTCCATTCGTGTCATTAAGGTCAATTCTACTTTGAGGGAGCATTTCTCTCCCATTTGTATTTTGAGTGCCTTCCAATCTGAGAGGTTTATCTTCTGGCACTATATCAGACAAATTTCATGACTATTCATAAAATTTTCCAGTAATACATCAGATACTGTTTCATGCTATTCATAAGGTTTCTACTGGCTAATTTTTTCAGAAGTGGATGGGCCTATCTTTCCCAGTCTATCTTATCTGGAAGCTCTGCTGAAACCTGTCCACCAAGGGTGACGCTGCTGGTATTTGAAATAGCGGTGGCATAACATTAAGTCTTATAGTATAACACACAAGCCTTACAGTATGACAGATTGACAGATGAGTGTTGGGACTAGTTAGTATGCTCCCTATATCATGGGTATTTGGACGGCTAGACTGTGTCTTGCTCACTCACCGCCATCAAGTCGATTCTTCCTCATAGCAACCCCTTTGGGTCTCCAAGGCTGTAAATCTTTACGGGAAGTAAATTCCCTGTCTTCCTTCCATGGAGCAGCTGGTGGGTTTGAACCACCAACCTTCAGGTTAGCAGTCTAATACCTTAGGCACTGTAAATGTTTCAACCTATTACTAGCCTTCTCTTAGAGTTTCTTTTACTTGGTATTTTTAGATTACTTTTATTTCTATCAGCAATTAGTAAAATTATCTTATACCATCATTGCTTTTTCATTTTTCTCAATAGGAAATTATTAATTATATAGGTTTATATCTAGAAACATGGAGATAACCAGATCAGTGCTGAATATTCTGCAGCCCATAGTCCACAAGTGACTCATTAGCTTTTATGTGTGGCCATGATCTTATTCAGAAGAAATACCCATCTTATATCTTATTCACTTTCAGAGAGAATCAAACTCAACCCTACTTTGGTTTACTGCTAATCTACTTTGTGCCTCTCTTGTCTGGATTTGTCAAAGAGAACTTGTTGCTTGGTGAGTGATATGAATAGCAGTGAGTTGAGTAGCAGAAAAGTACTGAATGGGTGATGGTTTGAATGGGTTGACTTATGTAGCTTGGTAGTTAAGAGCTCCAGCAGTGGAGTTGATTCACAGCTCTACCACTCTGTAGTTGCATGACCTTGCACAAATACTTGTTGTTGTTGTTTGTAATACCTCTTAAATCTCAGTTTAATCATAGTGAAAGGAGAGTGTGTGAGAGATAATGTTGGACAGTGGGTTCAGAGCCAGGGCTCTAAGGCCAGACTGCGTGGGTTAGAATCCTGATGACTCCTCTAATTTACTAGAATAAAACCAACCAAACTCACTGCCATCAAGTCGATTCGACTCATAGCAACCCTTCCTTGGGTTTCCAAGGGGGTATCTCTACAGAAGTAAATTGCCCAGTCCTCCTTCCGGGGAGTGGTTGGTAGGTTTGAACATACAGCCTTCTGGTTAGCAGTCAAATGCCTTAGGCACTATGCCACCAGAGCTCCCTGATTATTAGAATAAGTTATTTTAAACATTTCATGGTCTTCCTGTAAAATTAGGTTGATAATAATAATGGTCTACATCGTAAGGTTATTGTGAATATTAATAAATTAATACCTGTAAAGAATCTGTACATAATAAGTGCTCTATAATTTATAGCTATTGTTACTTTCTGAATTAAATTAAACCTCTTATAAGACTGCTACCTGGAAGGAGAGTTGACTGAGGAAATGAGCTTTTCAAAATAGGTAGATTCAAAGTAATAAGTGGTAATCTTTTAAGAATGGGATTCCAGAGAGGAGCCACTCTGTTTTCCACTTAAATTTTGTTGCTTTTCTTTTGTTTTTTTCTTTCTTTCTTTCTTTTTTTTTTTAAACAGTGAACATGCTTTAATTTCATGAGAAACAGTCTCTAATTATACTAAAAAATAAAGCAAATTGAGAAACATTTGTTTTAAAGAGGTTTCTGTTTTGTCTTGTTTAGGGTAAAATCATTTTTTTTTTTTTGTTTTAAACAATGTGATTTTAAGAGACAATGTGAGACAGTCCTTATTTTGCTGTTAAGGAAAGAAAAGAGTTTTCAAAATGAGTCTTACTCAATAATAAAACTTGTTCCAAGTGCCAGTGTTACAAGTATCCCAATGGGTGGGATATTTTATTTCTCAAATTTTAACCCAAACTGTGAAACACTACAGTAATAGAAAAGTGATGAAATATTATTTCAGTACAGTTACAGATTTTCCATTCTTGATTTAAAAAGCACCCTTTTAAAAGTACTGCCTGCACGTTTTTGTATCCTTCCTTGCTCTGTCTCTGTTGAACTAATAACTTGTCTTTATTTTACAGTGGTATCTTTGGCCTGGAGAAGTTAAATGACTTTCTCAAGTTAGACACAAAGTTAGTCACATTAAATTAAATCAGTTAAAGAAAGATGGTTGAAATAAGAGCTTAAGTGATAAATTAATATAATGAATTATTAAAGGGGACTGTGTGATTCTAAAGTACTTTGTAAACCATGGAACACTCTGCGATTATGAGTTATTATAGCAGATGATGGAAAACAACCTGAGCCAATGGTGCTGTCTCTTTATACTACCAAGCAGATTATCCCAGAGGTCACAGAATGATAGGTTCATCAATCAAATTCATATGCTCAAATCACAGAGCTAATTGAATCAATCAGAAACGTATAGCGAGAAGCAAGGGAAAAAGATGGGTGTGTAAAGACATTCAGGGTAGGGTCTAAGTGGGATGAAAGAATCACACTACGTGAATCGTGTATTACCCCTCATTAGTTTGTTCAGTCTCTGCCTGGGCTGCCTCAGCTTTCCCTGCTGACGGTGTGGACTGGAGCCAACACTGACTTTCTCTATATGGGGTACTCAAGAGCTTTTACACCTAGTCACAGCTGTAACTTGCTCTTAAACTGTGCAACTGTTTTAGCTTTTATCTCTATGTCTCTGACATATTATATACAGGGCTAGACTGAGTGCCATTAATAGGTATTTGACTTAAATATGAGATAGCCGTCAATCTGGATGTGTGACTTAATCCGTACTTTGTGAATTTTTCTTGATCCTTCATTCTTTCCTGTCTATACATAACAGTCTTACTTTGTTCCAACCTGTTTTTTTTTTTTAAATCTATATTCAAAACTAATAGGTTCCATTTTTTAAATTTTTTTTTTTTTTTTTACAGTTTATAAACAACTCTCTTAACTTCTTGGAAGAAAGGTTGGGCAGTCTACTTCAGTAGTGATACTGCCTCGGAAACCCAAGGAGGGGTTGCTGAGTCGATCTGACACTATGGCACATAACAACAACAGCAACATCTTAACTTCAAACACATGAGTTTCACTTATGTTCAAATGTTACTTGTTTACTATATCTATAGTTAAGTTTCATCTATCTTCTTTGCTTTTTTCTCTTTTTTTTCTATACAGCAAAGTTGAACAGTTTTAAATAATGCAACAAGCTCTTCTTAAAATTATTATCATTACAGCTATCTTTCATAAGCACATATATCCTTTGGCTTGTTTTGTTTTAGAAGAGGACTGATAAAAATTGTATCATAGAAATCTGTATCTGTAAGGAAGAAGGGAAGTTTGTGAAGAGTTCGAGTATTTTCAGCTCTCTATGTATATATTTCATTGAGTTAAAGTTTTCCATTGTTTAGTTTTGGATAAAAATATTCAGCCTATATTAAAAATGATAATGCCTTAAAAGCATGATATAATTCTTCTTCTTTCCCTGGGAAAAGACATTTTTCACAGCTAGAGTCAGAAATCCTATAAATTTCCTCTAATAAAACAGACCCTTATAATGTAAAGAAAATAAAATGCAACTCTCTTGCCAGAGAATCATCTATCTAAAAAATTCCTCTCTAGGGACTTATCTGAGGGAAAAATTCAGAAAACAGTAAGTTATTTAATGTTATAGAATTATTGTTGTTTAATATTAATTATATGAAATTAAAATCCAATTTAAGTAATTGTATATATAGTAAATATTGTATATATTCCTTGATTTCCTAATGAGTGTACATTTACAGATTTGATTTTACTGTGATAAGCTTCGATAGTAAATGAGAATTATGAAAATAATGCTTTAAATAATTTAATATATTTTTTTTGTTTTTAATGTTGTATGTATATTGGTTTTAACTTGATTGTTCTAATTTTATATTTAGTATAATTTTGAAAATGCATCTCAGACATTTGATGACCTTCCAGCAAAATTTGGTTATAGACTTCCAGCTGAAGGTTTAAAGGTAAGAAAATAGTATAATATAGTGAAGACATAAGGTATTTAATAAGGTGATTTTTATTGTTCTTTATTTATTTAAACAATGCAAATATTTCTTAGTATTTATTATCATAAAACATACATATTTATGTAAAGGTATAAGATTATTCAGAAGTTATGAAGGAGAAAGTAAAATTACCTGTGATCACATTATTCTGAACTCTAGTCACTGTTAACATTTTGATATATGATATTTTAGACCTATTTTCAAGGATGCTCTATGTGTAGGTATATATATATTTAGAAGAAAAACAACTCTACAGATCAGCCTTTGAGCTGATTCTGACTCATAACAATTTCCATTGGGTTTCCAAGGCTGTAGATCTTCAAAGCCGCAGACTGCCTCATCTTTTCTTTCTCAGAGTGGCTGGTGGGTTCAAACCACTGACCTTTTGGTCAGCAGCCAACTGCCTTAACCATTACACCACCAGAGCTCCTTAAACCAAAAAAAACCAAACTCACTGCCATCAAGTTGATTCTGACTCATAGTGACCCCTGTTGGGTTTCCGAGGTTTTAAATCTTTACATCTTCCTTCTGCAGAGTCACTGGTAGTTTTGAACTGCTGACTTTCTGGTTAGCAGTTTTATGCTAATAGTTAAAGCATATTATCTATTATTTGCAGTCGCTGCATGATTTTTAATATCATGAAATAAGGATTTTTGAACATTGTTAAAAGTTTTCATAGTGCCCAGTTTTTGCTATTACAAGTAATACGATGATGAATATGTTTGTCTTTATGTTTTGTGCTTATTTCCTTAAGATATATTTCCACCTGTAAAGTTGCTTTGTTTATGGAATGCTCGTTTAAAATTTTGTTGCATATTTCTAGGTTGCCCTCCAGAAAGTTTGGGACAATTTGGAATCCCACCAACAGTGTCTAAGACTATCATTTTTTCACATCCTTCATCAGTACTCATTATTATCAATTTTTTGCTGCTTTGATTAATAAAAACATCTTACGAGGTCGAACATCTTAGTTTTTTTGCCCAATAATTTTAGGATTCATAAAAACTTATTTATTTACATTATTGTGATTTGAATGAAAGTTTACAGAGCAAATTCATTTTCCGTGGAACAGTTCATATACATTTTGTTTCATGACTTTGATTGCTTGTTGTTGTTGTTGTTATGTGCCGTCGAGTCAAACCCGACTCATAGCGACCCCTCCTTGGGTTTCCGAGGCAGTATCACTACGGACGTAGGATTACCCAACCTTCCTTCCGAGGAGTGGCTGGTGGGATGTTGATTGCAGTCCTCGTAATATAACAGCTCTCTCTCCACTTCTTCCCTGTGGTTACCTTTTACTGTGTCCTTCTTTCCTATACATTTCTGCCCTTTGAGCTGTCTCCCTGTGCAAATACTGCCTTTCTAGCCTAAGGCATTTGACTGCTAACTAGAAGGCTGGCGGTTCAAACCTACCAGCCACTCCTCGGAAGGAAGGTTGGGCAATCTACTTCTGTAGCGGTACTGCCTTGGAAACCCAAAGAGGGGTCACTATGAGTCAGATCCGACTCGAAGGCAGTAAGTTTGTTTTTTTTGTTTTAATCCCCCATGGTTGATTGTTCTAAGGAGTATACCTACCTGGTCTAAATGTTCACTTTATATGCCTGTTTTTTGGCTGGAGGCCACATGAGTGAGAGTTCAGTTCCAGGCCTGAGGAGTGGGTAGGGGCCATAGTTTGGAATTTTTACCAGTCTGTATCAAACCAATAAACCTGGTCTTTTTTATGATTTTGAGTTTTGTTCTGCATTTTTTCCCACTCTATCCAGGATCTTCTATTTTGATCCCTTTCCAAGTGGTTGACAGTGGTAGCTGGGCACCATCCAGTTCTTCTGGTCTCAGGGTCATGTAGGCTGAGGTTCTCATGGTTCACTAGTCCCTTGGACTAATTGTTTCCATGTGTCTTTGGTTTTCTTCATTCTTCTTCCCTTGGTGAAGGAGAGACAATTTTTTTTTTTTTTTTAATATGTGTGATTTGAGTAAAAATTTATGGAGTAAATTCAGTTTCCATACAAGAGTTATACACATTTTGTTACATGACAAGAGACTCTAATACCAATAATATAGCACATCTCTTTCCACTTCCTCCCTGTGGTTACCTTTTCCCTGTGTCCTTCTTTACTATGCATTCCTGCCTTCTGAGCTGTCTTCCTGTGCAAATACTGCCCTTTTGGTTTCCCGTGGTTGAGTGTTCTAAGGAGTGTACCTACCTGGTATAAACATTCACACTATATGCCTGTCTGTTGTTTGACTGGAAACCATGGGAGTGAGTTCAGTTCCAGGCCTGAAGGCCAGTTGTTGCATCTTAAATGGCTGCTTGCAAGCTTTTCAGACCCTAACTGCTACTTACCAAAGTAATATGCAGAACAATGTTTTTGGGTAGTATGTTATGCCAGTTGAGCTTGATTTTTGCTCAGTAATTTTGTGAGTGTTATATGAATTGCCTATTATTGATTGTTCTTTGGCAATTTTTAAGTTAAAATGTTCATCCTTTCCTTATTGATTTGTAAGTGCTCTTTATAATTTGAAGGATCAATCTATTGTTTACCATATATGCTTCAGATCCTTTTTCACAGTTTGTTCTTATATTTTAACTTTGTTTAAGGCTTCGGAAGTTTTGTTTATGTAGTTAAAAATTGTAGGTTAGAAAGTTCTTCCCTGTCCCAAGATAATGCCTGCTAGTGGCTAAGGCATTTGACTGCTCACTAGAAGGCTGGCGGTTCAAACCCACCAGCCACTCCTTGGAAGGAAGATTGGGCAATCTACTTCCGTAGTGATACTACCTCGGAAACCCAAGGAGGGGTCGCTATGAGTTGGATCCGACTCGAAGATAGTCCATTTCATTAGTATGTTCCTTTGTTGCAATGAAGAAAGGTATTTGTATTGAATAAGTCATTAGTCTTGCAGAATTCTATCATGTGGTCTCCAGGATCATTTCTATCACCAAGGCCATGTTTTACAACTACTGATTCTGCTTCTTTGTTTCTACCTTTCACATTTCAATCACCAGTAATTATCAATACATCTTGATTGCATGTTTGGTCAGTTTCGGACTACAGAAGTTGTTAAAAATCTTTAATTTCTTCATCTTTGGTTTTAGTGGTTGTACATCCAAAAGCAAAACCAGACTCTTTGCTGTCAAGTTGGATCCGACTCCCAGTGACCCTCCCTTGGGTTTCTGAGGCGGTATCACTGTGGAAGTAGATTGCCCAACCTTCCTTCCGAGGAGTGGCTGGTGGATTTGAACCACCAGCCTTCTGATTAGCAATCAAATGCCTTAGGCACTATGCCACCATAAATTTGAATAGTAGTAGTACGGTCTTCCTCGTAGTCATAAGGATATTACTCAATCATGGACAACATTATACTTCAGGGTAGATCTTGAAATGTTCGTTTTGATAATGAATGCAACACCATTCCTCTTCAATTTGTCATTCCCGGCATGGTAGACCATATGATTGTCCATGTGATTGTCAGATTCAAAATGGTCAAATATCAGTCCATATCAGCTAACTAATGCCTAGTATATCTATTTTAATGAGTTCCATTTCATTTTTTATAACATCTATTTTTTCTGGATTCATACTTTGTACATTCTGCATAGTGATTATTAATGGATGTTTGCAGCTTTTTCTTCTTCTCAAGCCAGATTCAGAAAAGGTGTTGAAAGAGGGATATCATTTCTGATGTCAGATGGATCTTGGCTGAAAGAAAAATAGCACAAAGGTGTTTACCTGTGTTTTATTGGCTATGCAATGGCATTGGACTGTGTGGATCATAACAAATTATGGTTAACATAGTGAAGAATGGGAATTCCAGCACACTTAATTGTGCTCATGGAGAACCTGTACATAAACCAAGAGGCAGTCATTTGAACAGAATAAGGGAATACTGAATGGTTTAAAATCAGGAAGAATGTGCATCAGGGTTGTTTCCTTTCACCATATTTATTCAGTCTGTATGCTGAGAAAATAATCCCAGAAGTTGGACTATATGAAGAGGAATGCAGCATCAGAATTGGAGGAAGACTCGTTAACAACCTGTGATACGCAGATGATACCACCTTGCTTGCTGAAGGTGAAGATGACTTGAAGTGCTTACTGATGAAGAATAAAGACTGTATCCTTCAGTGTGGGTTTATACCTGAACATAAAGGGAACAAAAATCCTTACAGCTGAACCAATAGGCAACATCATGATACATGGAGAAAAGATTAAATTTGTCAGAGATTTCATTTTCCTTGGATCTACAATCAACACCTGTGGAAGCAGCAGTCAAGAAATCAGAGGACATATTGCACTGGGCACATCTACTGCAAAAGACCTCTTAAAAGTGTTAAAGAGTAAAGATGTCACATTGAAGACTGAGGTGCACCTGAGCTAAGCCATGGTATTTTCAAGAGCCGCCTATGCATATGAGAGCTGTACAATGAATAATGAAGAAAGCAGAAGAATTGATGCATTTGAATTATGGTGTTGGTGAAGAATACTGAAAATACCATGGACTGACAGAAGAATGAACAAATAATGTCTTGGAAGAAGTACAGCTGGAATGCTTCTTGGAAGCGAGAATGGCCAAACTTCATCTCACGTACTTTGGTCATGTTGTCAGAAGGGACCTGTCCATGGAGAAGGATGTCATACGTGGTGAAGTGGAGGGTCAGTGAAAAAGAGGAGGTGGATTGGCACAGTGGCTGCAACAGTGGGTTCAGGTGTAGCAAGGATTGTGAGGATGGCACAGAACTGAGCAGTATTTTGTTCTGTTGTATATAGACTTGCTATGAATCGAAGCCGACTTGACAGCACCTACCAACAACAGCAGCATGTTCCTGTTATGCACTACATAGTATTTTGTAATAGGACTGACCATAGTTTATTAACAATTGTCCTATTAACAGATACTTTGATTTCTTACCCAGAGGCCATTTACTTCTCTAGCTTAGAAGTCTGGAAGTAGAATTGATC